ATTTGATGTTGTATTGTTTAACTGCTGCCCGTTTGTTGATAGCTCAAAATTGGAAGAGTAAAGTTCTACCTACAATGGAGGACTGGAGATTGAAGGTCTCGTATTTTGCTGAAATGGCAAAGATTTCGGCTTATTTGAAGAATCACTCAAACGAACAATTTTTATTAATATGGAGAAGATGGATTGTTTATATTCAAAATAAGCATAGAATGGTGGAATATAACTTAGGTTTTTAGTTAACCTGTTCTTTTTTTCATATATATATATTTCACCTACTTATGTAGAATGATATTTTGTGGAGTTAGGGATATTAATATTAGTTTACTTTTATTTGAATAGTATCCTGGGATTAGGTTTGGGAAGTCCGGGGGGTGGGGGGTGGGGGGTGGGGTTTTTATTATAGCATTGTGATGTACTTGTGATGTGTTTCTTTTTTATGATGAAAATAATAAAAATTTATACTTGAAAAAAAAAAAGAAAGAAAGTAAGTCTTGGGAGAAGTCTCATGAATGGCAAGAGTAAGAAAAAAAGTTCAAAAACAGGCCTTGACGGGGAGACCTGACAGGTGTTCTGCTCTCATTCTAGCCTTGGAACTTCACACCTTGCTTTGCCCACAGGAAGAAATGAAAATCTCATTAGACGGGTAAGCTAGATGGGTCTCCACCCTTCTCAAGATATCAGAATAACAGAATGACAGAGTCGGAAGGAAATTTGGGTACTGGGCCTAAGGCAGAGCCTTGGGGTACCCCACCTGTCATCTTGGCCAAGGGTTGGGATTTGGGATCCTGGTGTTTTAAGCAAAACCTGTAATCCCCAAGCCACCAGTGGCTTCAAAAAGTAGTCCAGGTATAACTGAGATACCTGAGGAAAGTTTAATGGTGCTCAAACCAGATGTGAAGAACAAAAATGTTCAAGTCTCTAGCAGGATGGTCAAGAATGGAGACCAGAATTTGCCTCCAATTCAAGGTGGTTTTTACCGCCAAGGATACGAAACCGGGCAACTTGGCACTTTACATGAAGACTTCACAATGCGAGTCCAAAGTTGATGAACCACCAGCTTCTCTTTTCTCAGAACACGGTGGAAATAAGTAGGAAGAAAAAGAAATCTCTTTCAGAGAAGAAACCCCAAACAAACAAAGAGGCAAAGTCTGAGGACCTAGAATGAATTTGCTATCCAAATTCTGTCCAGGCCTTCTTGCCCCGCCCCCAAGTTCTCACAACCACGATCCTTCCAAGTTTTTTTTTTTTATTTCATCCCATTTTTTCCCACATATCCTGTGGACTTGGAGAGCTGGGGAAAGGATCTGGGACATAAAAAGATTTGAGGCTTGATTGAAAAGTATGAGAAAAGCGGGAAGCTACAAAGGAAGTTTAACTTTCTTGCAAGTTCATTGACTGGTTGTAACTCTTTTGCTAAGTCATTGTTGAATGTTCAAAGAGAAGACTTCCAATAAAAATAAAGGGGGGGGGAAACACATGGGCTTGGGAATTCTCCAATGACAAAAGAAGATGATAGTCTGGGGGAGGAAGGGATGCACCAAAAGGGTTAAATGCCGCTGATACAATTGCTGCCAAATCACTCATTTTTGGCGCCAGGCTTAAGTAAACAGCTTAGATATAAAACACAGTACAAGCATATTAAATAAATAGTTGTTTTTTGTAAAAAAAAAAAAAAAAAAAAGATACTCAGCTAAGCCAGACAAAATACCATAAAAAGAAAACAGTAATTAATTTTTTTTTTTTTTGTAAATACTTGTAAAGTTGGAAAGAAGGGTAGAACAGACGATGGGTGTGAACATATTTTAATGTCTCACATCAGCCACTGAATCTATCATTCCGACCTCCACGTTTAAAAGGAGACTATCCTCGCGGCAAAGATGACGACGAGAACCGTGCAGCATCGGTTAAAATTATCAACTGCAATTTGAAATGTAAAGAGTTGTAAATCCTGAATTGGCCTCTCTTTTGTGGGTGTGTAAACTTTCCAAATCATATTAAGTTTTAAGATATTCTATATTCTAGTTTGAAGAGTGATCACGTGCAGGGCCAATAGCCAGACATAAAGTTTTTCTTAATATTTTTTTTGTTGAAGGAAATGTATCCCAAACTGAATTCCTTCAGTGAAATGGACCCCCAGCCTAGATCTGTTGAGGACATTCTTGATGCACCTTCTCTACTAATGAAAGCTACAGAGCAACTTAACCAAGTATCTCCTACTAATTAAATTAGAATAATTCTACATCTGCAAAATTACAATTACAGCAGCCCGTAATATTCCTCAGTGGGGAATGCTGCAGGGCTTTGAGGGTCATTTTTATTAATTTTTCACTCATGAGTTTCTTGAGGAACATCTTCACATTCTTCAAGATCTTTCCCAACACACCTTCCCAAACCAGCCTAGGTGGGGCTCCCAATCAGCTTTGCTAGTTTCATTCCACCAAGGTGACCTCTGTCCCCAATAAACTTACACTAAACTAACTCACACAGATGAATAACTACATTATATATATATATATATAGGCAGATAAGGAGATCAGTATCACATCCGCTTTCTTACGTTTTACAGGAAAAGCAAACCAGAAGCTCCTCCCCTTTCTCGTCTAGCGTCAACTCACTACTGAAATGTTGGCAGACACGTCAAAAGGAGTAAGATAAATATATATTAGCATAATAATCCGATTGAAAAAAGGTATAGAAGTCTTAACTTTGCATCAGCTGAGTCTGAAAGGCTAGGAAGGAGGGGATTACTCAACTTGAAGAGGAACAGAAACTCTTGATTTTTAATCAGAGATGGAATGAGAAATTACAAGGATAACTGGTAGGAATTGCTTATTTAATAGGCAGCATCTCACTCCTACCCTTTCCTCTTATTGTGAAGACTTCACTGATTCCCATCTCAGATTTGTACAACATAAACCTCCAGCATAAAGCAAATCACGTTGCGAAGGACGAGATGAACAAGGAAATCAAAGCCTTTGCTCAGAAGTCTTCTGCTGGGTCAACAAACATCAAGATGCAGGCAAATCATACTCCTACCCCTTCTGCAGAAATCACACGAATGAATTCCACCCTCTTAAGACTGGCTACTTTCTCTTCATGGATGGAGAAAGCTTTAGAGGGCAACTGAGCTCCGAAATATTGGCCTGAGCAGGAGAGGAGACAATCACAAGGCCTGTGTGTGTGAAAACTAGAAACTTCAGATTCCCACATCTTCCCCAGGAAGTATCTCTCTGCCTTTTGGAAATGACAACCAGGATAAAATTGCCTGCTGCTTTCCTCCTTCTCCAGCTATTCACCCCAAGCAGCTTTTTACCAGCTGCTCCTCCATCCTTACATAGAAAATGTAACTTCACCACCACAGCCAACTTGATGTCATTGGGGACCGTGTCCAAACATAAGCTCCTGCTGAAGGCTTACGGCACCTGGCCCCTGATCATGGGAACTTAATTCCAGATAGTTTTACTCAACGGGCAACTCCGTTGTTGAAGTTGCCTCTCCTGGGAACGCCTGATTAAGAAGAGCAAGAGTAGACGGGGAGTGTACTACACAACTCATCGAAGACAAGCTCTTTTGCCAATCCAAGGGTGCCATTCACCAGGTACCCAATGGCATTTTTATTTAGTTTCATGACCCAAGCTAGATGACATCCTCAGTGCTGACTAGCATGGATGATGTTACCTAATTTGGGTAATGAAGCATCTGCAAGAAAACAACCAGGACCCCTCAGATCAGGAAGGGTGAGAATGGACAACCCAGGAGGAGAAGCAAAGAGGCTCTGTTGCTGGCTGGGGAATTCCAGGGGTTGAAGTCCACACATCATACAGTTGCCAAGTCCGAAGAACACTGCTCAAACTCTGACCACTTGTGACTTTGGAAGCCCTCACTTCCTCACAAGCCAATCAACAATCAGCAATCAGCAAGGCTCCAGCTACCTTTAGAGCTGAATCCCCTCCCCACTCACAGTTTATAGCAAGCACTGGGAAGTTTAAATGCAATAGCTCCAACCAGCAAGGCCCCAGCTACCCCAGTCCACCATGAGCATTAAAGGAGAAGAAATTGCCTGATTTCAAAATAAAAAAAAACGGACTCACCATCTCGTCCAAGGCATAGCGGAGAAGACCATGCTCGTAGAGGATGAAGAAGCGGCGTTGCCATTTCTAAAAAAAAGGGAAAAGAAAAGAGGCCACATGGTTAAAACCCCAGAGAATTGAAAGCTCCAACAAGCCAGTTTTCAAATGAGGTCTCCCCAGACTGGGGGTCTTTCAGGATTGATGGAATTCAGCGTCCCTCCAGATTTGTGGTGGAGAAGCTGTTTTGTTTTCCTTCTCCTCTCCATTCCTCCCCATTTCTGCACACCAGAGGAATAATATCTGCAACCTTTTAAGACATCAAGGGACCCCCCAAATGTCTGGAGTAAAACCCCAGCTGTCCAAAAGTTGCTGCCCCAACAGAAAGAAAACTGAGGATTGTGTGCTGAGATCAAGGTCCTGCAGTTATTCAAGCACTGAAAAAAACAGATCCCTCTCTCCTAGTCCATCTGGGTAGCGAGAAGGCTGGCATATAAATTTAATAATAAATAAAATTTAAGAAATTTGAACTCGCTGCCCTTCATAGCCCAGCGAGGAGGAAGGAGCAGCCCTTACCCGGGAGCGATGCACAGGGTTGTCAAAATCCGTGCCTTCGGGCGCTAGTAGAAGCCATCCACCATAAATAGGCTTGGCCTGAGAACAGAACAAGGAAAAGATAAGTTTGATTTGTTTTGAAAGGGTACAATTTCCAACAATTTACTCTGTGATGCAATTAATAGCACTGGAAGGGCCAGTTATAAAATCTGGCAGAAGACAGACAAGGTCATCCTCATTTAGTGAGCACAGTTGGGACTGGCAAGAAGGTCGTTAAGCGAAGCAGTTGTTAAGTGAAATATACATCTATGCTTACAACTTGACTGGTTATGAAGTGACTTTTTCATTATTCTCATAGGTGTGAATGCTTGCTAAATGAAGACTCCCTGTACACACACACACATACACACACACATGCATTGTGTCTGCAGGATGCAAGAACCTTCCCCAGGACTGTGTGTGATATTGTGTCTCTTTAAGTGATCCTCCAGAGCAGGACTCATTTCTGAATAAAGCTTTGGAAGAGAACAGCAAACCGTGAAAGAAATCGAACTGAGTCAACATCCACAACGGACACACAATTGAGATCTGAACTGAAGTGCCGTATTGTGCATCTTTTGCAAGGCACCCCTTGAAAGACACGTCACTGCATTAAAAAGCAACTTATAAAGCAACAGAGTCACTTGGGATGTTTTATTTTAATTTTTTTTGATAAATTTTTATTTTATTTCCAAAGTGAAAATACAAACTTCCACGGAAGAACAGAAAACAAAGCAATTGATCAGAGTCTCTTTTTTGAGATGGGCAGCTACAAAAACCAAATAAATAAATAAAAATTAACTTCTTTCCTTAAACTCAGTGGGCATCCAGGTCTAAATTTGTCCCCCTCTTCCAAGAACGGAACTCATCTTGAAGGAGATTTTATTTTTGAAACTCTGAATGTTCCCTCCTGTCTGCTGGGTTGTGCTCCTGTCTAAAATAAATACCTGTAAATACCTTGGAGCAGAAATAGCCTTTTCCTGGTATATTCCTAGCTCAGGGTTAGTAATCAAAACCAAAACAAAGATGGGCTGTTTGGTTGTTGTTGTTATTGTTGTTTATAAAAAAAAAAAACCCCACAAACTCTGAAAAAAAGCTGAAGCCAAACAGGGCTTGTTTATTTGAAGAAGGCACCAGCCAAATAAAAACCAGTTCCTGTATTTAAAAACAAAAATATCCTGAGCTCAGTGAATGAAGCCTCCCCTAAACCTGTTCTGCAAGTCCAAGGATGTTGCAAGATGCTCTAAACCCAGGCCTGCAAAACCATCTCCAGATAAAAGAGGGGAATCTGTCAGTGCTCCACCCTGTTTGAAACAAGGAAATCGCAAGGCTTGGGTTTTTTTAAAACATGCCATTCTTTGAATTTGCAACTGGTACGTATCAGAAGCGTTTCTGATAGAGATCAAGCCAACGAGAAGATCAAATGGGTCTGGATTCCCTGTGCAGACATGCATTTCTCTGTTTATCCTTGTTTATTCATTCTTCTTGGGCCCAGCCAATGTAACACACCCACCCCAATATTCTCTGCAAATTTATGCTTGCTTAAGTGGGTAAAATGAACAGACCTCTTTCACAGAGAAAAAAACACAGTTTGAGTGGAGTCGAAAGGGTTCCCACAACATGGCTGAGCAAACTCAAACTTGACCCAGGAATTTCAATCCCATTTTCCTCCTGCAAGACCATGGATCCCCGTCCCATTTCCCTTTAGATGCTGGATTAAGGAGCAGCATTTATTTTTTTTTGCCCTATGAGAAAAGCAAACTAGACCTCATGAATATCTAAGCGAGCGCCGAAATGTCTGCTTGCTTTGCTGTTCTTCTCACTTCCAAAGTTTCTAGTCCTCTTCACCTGATGCGCTTTAAATTTATTTTACAATGCAGCAGGCTGGTTATGCTCAATTATACAAAACAGCAGAGCCTTAACAACCGGGTGGACAGATTTAACTTCAGGATTCTAGACCTCATGAATAATGAAAGTACCTTTGAAAAAGTATGCAGTTGAGTAGGTGGTGACAGGGTTTTTTTCTTTTAGGCGGTGGGTAATCTTGTACGGCAGAAAAAGAATGCAAAGATTTTCAAGGGGCCCAGAAAAATGCCACTCCTCATAATTCACTGCCCCACCCTGGAGCCCACAGGAGGAAAACAGAAGTCTGCAAATCTATAAGGTTGTTGGGTTTTTTTTGCTTAAATTTGCTAGTGTCTCCAAATTCAACTTAATTCAGTGTCCCATTAGGCCTTCCTTTTCATCCCAAGTTGCCCTGCGCTACTAGAATCTCAAGAAGACATCGAGAAGGAAGGAATTATTCCTAATTTAATAATAATAATTAGGCTGGCAGAGGAATGAGGACAAACCCATCTAGCGACCATTGCAGATCTTGGCTTCTGCCCACAAACCCTGATTCTCTTGGATAAAGACGATAATGACAGCATTCAGAAACCCACAACGCCGATTCAGACAAGCTTGGGGAAATATTTGCCATTCCCCCCCCCCAAAAAAAGCATACATATATGAGCTTGTGTGCAATGAACGGAGCAAACATGCAAACTCTGGCGAAGTTGCAAACTTCTTCAGGAAGCGCTTGCTTCAAAAAAGAATCTCCTTCCTTGAAATCAATAAACAAAACTGAGGATCCCTTCCGGCTCCGTTGAAGCGCTGCTGGGATCCTCAAGCCCCTCGCCCCCTTCCCAACCAGGCGCTCTGGTTTACGGTTCCATCCCCTCTTTCCGAATCTGAGCAAACCTGGATCTCAAAGCCGGCTTCCTCCAGCGCCTTCCAGGAGCTCCTGATCCGCCCAAACTTCCCTCGGCTCATGATCTGATCCTCTGCTCCCCTCTCCCCGGGGCCCGTCTCCTTTTTGCTCGGCGGAGGTGCCGCCTTCCTTCCGTCAGGGGACCTGGGTCCCCACCCACACCTCCGCACAGCCCTACCTGGCCCACACCCTCGGTGGCTCATGGCGGCCGCACCCCTTCTGAAGGCAGCAGCAGCAGCAGCGTAAGGCTGCCTGCTCTCCTCTCCCAACTGCAGAGGGAAGAACAGAATGACAAGAGTTGGAAGGGCCCTCGGAGGTCTTCTAGTCCAACCCCCTGCTCAGGCAGGAGACCCTAGACTATGTCAGACCAGTGGTCACCCCATCTTTGATTTAAAACCTCCATTGATGGAGCAGCCACAACTTCTGGAGGCAAGGAGTTCCACTGGTTAATTGTTCTCACTGTCAGGAAGTTTCTCCTTAATTCCAGATTGCTTCTCTCCTCGGTTAGTTTCCATCTGTTGCTTCTTGTCTTGCCCTCTGGTGCTTTGGAAAAATAGGTGCCCCCCTCCCTCTTTGGGGCAGCCCCTCAAATATCGGAAGACTGCTATCATGGTTTATTTTTCCTTCCTTCCTTCCTTCCTTCCTTCCTTCCTTCCTTCTTTCCTTCTTTCCTTCCTTCCTTCCTTCTTTTCTTTCCTTCTCTTCATACTTTCTGGTTTATTTTTTTCTTTTCTTTCTTTCTTTCTTTTCTTTTCTTTTCTTTTTCTTTCTACTGATGCACTGACAGCAGAGCAGCAGAGAAACATTAGCAATTAACAGACAGATTCATCCATAGAGACCTAGTGCTGTGACATGAACAGTTATCAACAACTTTTTTCAAAAACCAGACACTTCATATGGATTTTTCTGAGGGAAGAAGACAAACAAATGAGATGATTATTTACGGGGTTGAGGACTAAACAAAATATGTGGAGTAAGGCAGGCGTTGAAGGGATTTTTGTAACGTCTAAGAGGGAGTTGGGAGTATAGGATTGTAATTATCTGTTGAAGAGAAGTTTGGAAGTCATTATATTTAGTTTCTTGTCTGTTTTAGTTTTCTTGCAATGTCTTTTGTTGTGCTTTAGATTTGCCTTTTGCTTTATGTAAAATTCTCGATAAACACAAACAAATAGAATATGCAGAGTTACATTACTTAGCAACCCTCTGGGCTGAAAACCTCATTAACACACCTTTCATACATCAACAGGAAGAAAAACCTCCACTCTCAAGAGGAGTCTACCTCCAAATTGTATATTGAGAGACAAGAATCACCTCTCCGATTATACACCGACTAGGAAAAATGACATTTGAGTGCACGAGGCCGGTATGCAGAATACTGCACAACTCAATTAATAAACAAACCTTCCTTAAAAAGGCAGGACAGGTCAGAATGAACTACGCAGTAATAATAATAAATTTGGGCTCTGACTCAGGGTATTAAAACTGCAAATTTCGAAAGCTCGTACGGTCATCAATTTATTTTGCAGAAGTTCAGGCTGATTTTTTTTTTTTGACTCCCATCTATTTACATCCCCATCCTTGTCTCTCTGGTCACTTGGAAGAAATTCAGACTTGCCCCAGGAGAGTAGCTGTTTGCAAGGCAGCCCCTCCCGACAATGCCGGGGGGGGGAGGATTATGTCAGCTCCCCCCAACCCCAGGAACCTTGCCATTGATATTGCAGTCGATCCAAAATGTCAACACTTATTTATAAGCAGCTTGCCATGAAATATAAGACGTTGGTACACCGTGATCCGTCCTTCTGAAGATCCCGCCACGGCTTGATCCTGTTTAAATCCTGTCTCGCTGCTTTCCTAAAACTCTCAGCAACTGCAGATTTTTTTTTTTTTAAAGGAAAAAAGGGGAAAAAAACAAACCTCCTGGTATACTGCTAATCAAAGTGCCAAAGGCATTAAGAAACAAGGGGAGCCTGGGAAAATGTTTCCAAGCTTAGAGGAGAAGAATTCCCCTGGCCCGTCCAAACACGCTCAGCAGATCCCCATCCGTCAAAGGGAAGAATGCTCGTTCGGGGCCAGGGAAGGAGTTGAAGACGCCTCGGGGGTGGGGGGGAGGCTTTGGGGGCGGCACAGAAACAGATTTGGGTCTGCCTGACTTTTCTTGCGAAGGAAGGAAGGAAGGAAGGAAGGAAGGAAGGGACTAGGTAGAAGGAAGGAAAGGAAGAAAGAAAGAAAGGATAATAAATGGATAGCAGGAAGGCAGAACAGAGATGGAAATGAGGAAGGAAGGAAGGAGAACTAGGTAGAAGGAAGGAAA